TATACACAATAAACAGCAAAAAGTCATAATGCTGCAGTTACATAATGGCAATAACTCTGATGAAAGAATCAGTGTTCGATGTTTAGTTCTTATAAAGAGGATGGCAATGAACAGTTTTTCTTTACATAGTTATTTTCTTTTTTTTATTTAGTCAACATAAAATGCATTTTATATTAAAGAGAAAAGTCTCCAAACTTTGTTGTCCTAATTACTGTTCAGCATTTTATACTAAGAAAAAAAAAATGATTAGAACTTCATGACTCATTAAAAGTAAGTGATCACAATCTCTTAATAGAAAAAGAAACTGAGCTAATGATAGAAACTCTGACTGATGATTTTGACCTTAAGTCTTGAAGTCAACTGAAATTAATAACTCCGAACAGTAAATGCAAGGTTAATATTTCTGAGTAAAGAGAAAAAAAGACAACAGATACATACTGTGCAAAATATAAGAACTCTGCATGCAGCTTCTCTTCCTACTCACATTTTTTAAAACACAACATGATGTACAATAGTAGCTAAAGATTCAAAAAACAAAAGGACTAATTTGTAACAGTTATAATGAAACTAATATTTCTTAGGATTCCAGGAAGCTGACTTACATTGAATCAGATTGTTACGAATATCCAACTATGGATCGTCTACAACAACTGACACCAACTCTTCCAAGTATTTTCCTAGCACTGTTTGTAAATGCAAGGATTAAATGCATTGCTACCATTTACTATGTGCTAGGGAAGCACTTACGTGAATTACAGTAAATGTAGCATCATTCAGAGGAGGAGTATGTTAAACTGATATTACATTTATGTCACCTTTTGAATATTAACATAATTAATATAATGGATTACATCTTTCAGTAAACTTTAATAGATTATTAATTTAGTGAACATGAGTTAGTTAAGAAAAAGTAGACTCTAAAAAAATAGATGGCCCATCATATCTAAAGTCCATCAAACCAAAATATATTACACATAGCTTTCTTGTGTTTGATATTTAGAGTGACAACAGATTTATTCTTTTTCTCTGAAGTAGTTCTGAGAAGCTTTTCCATCTAATCTTGGCTTTGTGCTAACCAAATATACTGAAGCTTTATCTCTTTGGCAATTAGCATGGCCAAAGACTGCAAAAATCTGTGGACACAACATGTCTGGAAGGCAATAGTTGCAAAGCTGACCAAAGATCCACACTGAGTACATCAAAGAATATATCACCCACCTGCACTTTTCATATCTGGATGTGAAAGTAAATGGTAAATTTACTTTTCTCCTGAGCTTCAGATATTTCATGTTGATTTAGCAGCTTGTAGTATTTAAAACCCAGGAGGAAGATAACTACAATCAAACTATTTTTATAGGTTTAAGTTTGACAAATTTTCAAAACATGTGCAGGGAGAATTGCAGTCAGTGCATTAAAAACAGCACCAGCAGTTTTGAAAATGATCAGATAAAATATATTGATATTAACCTAGTTAGCTGTTACAGCTCTTGACCACCAGCATGGTTTTGCAGCTTATTTTGTGAGTTAAGACAGAGCCCTACTAAGACCTAGTAATTTCCCCTCACCCCATGGAACTCACTATGAAGAGGACATTTGAGATTATTGCAACAAAATCCTAAGAAAAAGTGTTAGTGCTATGTAAGTATGAAAATGGAATGGCAAATAAAAAGAGCAAGAGAGAAGGTCATTTGATATTATCTTTTGAAGCCAGGTAGAACGAATTGCCCCTAAAGGAGGAATAGATTTCTAGAACACATTGGACAGGGACACCTGAACTGAATATTGAACACATTTTCTTAGCATTTTGTATGAGCTATTCTTATCTTTAATATTTGAACAATACCTTTAAAAAAACCCATCTAATTGTACTTACAACTGCTATGATGAATATCAGAAGCCACTTCTTTGTATCTTCTTTCATTATTATTTTTCTTCAAGTTTTTTTATTTTCTTGCACTTTGCTTTCTATTCTTTTTTCTTCCTTTATATTAGTGTTAGTTTTTACCTTTTTTAAACATTTCAAATTCTCTCTCTCTGTCAAATTAAAAGGAGGTCAGGCTAGAATCTTTCCTTTATTGACCCATTAATATATTGACTGAAACCCCACCCCCAACTCTGGAATCTTTTATATTATTAGACATATACAGACTAGTCCTATTAATTACATCTAATTAGTTTAAAATTGTATCACTTTTAATTTGTCCTTGTCTTGCTGTTCATAACCCTGGGCTCTAAAGGAAATATCTATCCCTATTTAATGGAGAGGAACTTTGGGACTGAGGACAGAGTCCAAATTCATCAAGGTTTGACCTATTTACTTTAACTGATTGTATTTTTATAAGATCTCCAGCAGAGTTTTTCTTTGTCATTAGCTATAACTGCTGAAATTCACAAGAGGACTGTAGCTGGACTTTCTGAATACAAGACTAATGCTCCATCACTGAATAATGGTCAGTCTATTAATAAGAGCATTCATATCCTAAAATTGAATATGTTAGGCATTTTCTTGGGATATATAATTCTGGAAAATAAGAGAGATCATAATTGGCAAAGGAGAGGATATGAAAAACTGCTGCTGCTTGTCAACTTTAACGTTCCATGTTTCTCATCTCTAAATTTATTCTGGGGAAAATTTTGAGTAAGCAATAAAAGCCATTTTTATTGACTTTTCCTTCTATAATTATGAGATGCAGTTTTACCCTTTCAAACCTGAAATAACTGAAAGGTAAAAAAAAACATGATTTAATCTCAAAAAATAAAAATAAATGTAACTCAGGCTTTGAATTTATAAGAATACACTGGTGATCACATTCAAGAAATGCAGTTAGGTTGATCTAGCATAAGGAAACTTTTTAAAAAGTATTGTTTTCTCCTAAAGGCGCAACAAAAGCATTGATATTTCTGATCATTATTTTGCATCCACCCACCTGTGGCAGTTCTCCCATTGTAAAGTACACCTTATACAGATTTAACATGCTTAATATGTTCTTTTCAAAAGACATGTTGCCAAGATGCTGTTGCTGCATTCAATAACATCAGACTATTCAAGTTTTGAATTTTGCAGAATTATTGACATGAAACCCACTGGGGAAATACTATTATCTAACACTAACATCTAAAGAAAATAAAAGAAAACTGCCTCTGACTTCAGAAAAATTGTAGGTATATTGTGCAATAGCATCACTGACATAAAAACCAATGAAGTATGCAAATCATTTACACATGCTTGCTTTGAAGTATATTTTACTGCATTCAGTGAACCTAGCCTCAGGTAAGTTGAGCATGGAATTTCAGCCTCAGTCTCGGAGATTTCACTTCGTTTTTCTTAAAACATTACCAGGACATTTTTTTTTCTTTAGATTAAAAGCATAGTACTTCCCCCTCTTAGTTTCATGTTCCTTTGTTTTTCTCACATATTTCTGTTTTCCTCATCTCCAGTTTTTGTCCTGCCGATTTGAAAGCAATGAAGAAAATTAGGAACAGATGGTTAGTGCTGTTCTGTTCACATAACCATTTCCATCTGATATCCATTGGTCATTCTTTATATGAAGGGCATACGGCCCAATTAGCAGTGCCAGCTACTGTCTGACTCTTTGTCTTGCTTTAAAAGGTAACCCATTCTATTGCTTTATATCACAAGCCTCAATACAAGATATATATGCGAAACAGTAAAACGGCAATGTTTATAAACAACTTTTCCCTCCTAACTTTCCAGATTATAAGTGTTAACTTTTCATATAAACAACATATTTCTCATTGTCTTGCTGCATAGTTGTGAAAAACAAACCACACAATAAAGCTGAGTAATTCTTTATTATTATAATTTTTAATAAAAAAGAGAGAACATTAATTTGGTGGATTTTCCTTCTTTCAGATATGTACATTTTTTTATAGCATACAAGCATTATGCCAACAGGAGAAGAAAACCAAACATCACAAAATTCACTTCCAAAATTTGGACTGTTCAAGTCCTTACTTCAAGTCTTGGTAATGTCAGTATGAACAGTCAAAGTACTATTTTTTCCTTAACAACAATGTACCCAGCCAAAGGAGTCCACAGGATATGGCCAAAAAAGTCAATTTGGCTGTCATGCTGATGTGATCAAATACTCATATATAAAAATAGGAGATTCTACCACACTGGTATTGCCACCACCTTGGCTTTTTTTTAACCATCTCCTGTAGACACTCTTGTACCCAGAAGAACAATTGAGATACCAGACTCATTATGAACTGCAAGAAGGAGGGCACAGAATTCTGCAGGACAACATATTTATAATTTACATCAGAATAATAAAAGATGTACTTGTAGACTGCCTTCAACTAGAAATTAGGCCAAATTTGTCTTTCAAATGAACCTTAAAAAATGCCCTTATATACTAGAGATTATTCACAGTGTATTTTCATGTTCTGTAATCTTTGATTTTACTCCTTACTCCAAATAATCCTTATAATAGTTTAATAGAATATAGTGTTTTATTTAATACAAACTATGTATTATATCTTCTGTGACAGTTCATGACAACTTGAATTATACAAAAATAACACAAATGTTTATATATTCCTGGGCATAGGAAACTGGCCCTTTTTCCAACTTGAGTAAGACTAACCAAAATTAATACTTTCACTACTACTTGAGGTATATGGTTTCAAAGAAATCCCATTAGACAGCCAGTTCTTTCTTAGATCTTCCAGGAAATCTCTGAAGGTATTTGGACCTCCTTCTGAGTGATATTGGAAGGGTGGAAAAGAAAAAAAGAGTTAATATATAGAGATTACTATAAGGCTCTCTCTCTCTAGTAAGGCAGGAATGTTAATTCACAAAAAATCTTGAAGTCCCTGCTTCATAGACAGGTGTATGAATATTAAAGGAAAAAATGTAAAAAATCAGAATGTTGTGCAACTGAGAAAAAAGTAACAATCATATACTTTTTGGATCCTTACCACTGTATTAAGCTACCTTCTGTCTGATCCTCAAACACTGAAAACAGAAACATTTGTGAAGAGTAGTTTAGAAATGGAATATTTTATTATTTTTGCCATTCTTTTTACATATAGCTTAGACAAAGCATAACATTTAGACAATTATTTTTGATATGGGGATAGTCAGTTATTTCAATATCCTATATGAAAATGTAGCTTCATTGGTAAACAAATCTACTCTTAAATAATGCAGTATTCTATACAGATGAATTAGGTTTCCTGTGGGATTATTTGTACATATGATGTAAACAATATCATACAATTTAGAGGTATAATACCTGCAGCTGCCATGTGAGCCCACGAAAATGCATGTTTGGTTTAAGTGCTCATGACAGTTGCTATACATGTATCCATACATACTCTAGCATATTTTACTCCTTAAATCTGGATCTCTGCATTAATGTTGCTTTGATGCTCACTACTCTTGGGAGTGTTATGGGCTGAACATATAAACAGTCCTGCATATTTAATTAAAATAATTTATGTATGCCATTCATTCAACAGACAAAATAGGTGAAGACTTCTGATAAATTTTTGGAACAAGAGCATCAAAGGTATTTCCAAAAAATATATATTTTGGATGGCTGTGCTTGCCCATGAAATTTTACTAAGACATCAGAGCTCTGCATGTTTAACAACCTACTCATGTTTTTGAATACATCACCACTTTTTGTTTAGCACAAAAAAGCATTAAAATAGGGAAATAGTTGGATGAGACTATTTGGCAGCACTGCAAGCTTTTGTCTGAAAACATCATTAGAATCAGAACCATCTGATTTCCACTACACACATAGAAAATTAGTCAAAGCTGAAAGACGTTACTATTTGTACACTAGATACAATTTTCCCCTACTACTCTCCCTTTCATGCATCTACATTTAGTGCAGAAATACATTTGATCTGTTGGTTTTCGTGGCTTTTTGATTAGTCACCATGTTTGAAATGTATGAATCGTTTGGATATTGGAATTGTTAAAAGGAAAAAGTCCAAGAGAATCGTCTTAGAAGTATACAATGTAAGTGCTTGCTGCGTTAGGTCAAGTGTCTCTTTAATCCATCAGGTGCCATAGGAAACTCATAGCATGGACAGACAAGGAAGAATGAGAAGATGCTTCTATTGTAGTTTAATCTTCTCCTGATATAGAAAATTCACTATAAGCAGTCCTAAGTTATGTAACCTGTGGCTTAGGTAAATGAAAAATGGTGGCTGCCATGTTTGAGCATACAGAATAGAACAGAGGAATGCTTGCATGGGTGAAGGGTCCACAAACCAAACTCCAGAAAAATCCAATTACAAGCGAATGGCCTGTTTCTATTATCTGAGGACTACTTGTATTTCATCAATAAGGAGAATCTAATTATACATTAGATTCCAATTCTAATTTAAAATGGAGGAGAATGCCCTACCTTCTAACTGCATTCAGCTAGAATTTGAGATATATTTAGGTGAAATTGCAACCATAGCATTCTACCGGGTCTTCAGTCCTAAATACATCTATTGGAATGTGACTGAAGAGTGTCAATGAAGATTGTCCCCAATTACAGTACTCAGAATGACTGCTTCTCATGATCTAGCTTTGCAGAGATATATTCATTCACTTTCAATCATCTGTCTGATATGTAGTCTCCCTTTCCATATATTCTATGAACACACAATGTTTTTTAAACAGATCATTTCCTCCAACATTTGATTTACTGCTACTGGATGGAAATATGAGCAGCAGCATTATCACAGTCCCTGTGAACCAATATTTTTTTCCTCACAGTCCTGCACTTTGCTAAAGAAAAATCCTGAAATTCATCATTACAGGCATAAACACAATCATTGCTAAAAACAGGCGTATTGGACAGACAATAATAATTGCCGGCGGATCTGTTTATAAGTCAGCCTAATAGACAGAAATACCCACAAGCTTTAGATATCCTTCATCATCAAACTACTTCTTCAGGATTCACCTTGATTAAAGATTTTCAGTGGAAGTTTAAGATAAGACATAGATCCATCATCATCAAGAAGGCAAATTAGGCTGTCCTTCAGAGTGAAAAGGGTTTTAAGAAAACCTATCATATCTAAGTACATGACCCAATTTTTCATCAGGCCATAGGAAATTCCATTTGACATATTAGGAAGCAATAACAAAGGAGTAATGCAGTTACTTAAAGCCATTAAAATAAGGCAAAGCTGCATAGGAAAAAAGATCTCATTTGTAATTGAAATTTGGCTGCTATTTTGAGGCAATATATTATTTTAAATGGCTGCATGACAAAAAAAACCACCTTACCTATTGGCATCCAGCAGAGAAAAGATAGAGGCTTCAGCTGCTATAGTCAGAAAAAATCTTTGGGAAGGAAGAACAGGAGATTTGTAAAATTAAAAAAAAAAAATACTTCTCTCCTCCCATTTGAATCAATTTAAAAAGAAGGATTACATCAGGCAAAAATCCAAAGATGCCAATTGTATCTGGCAATAAAAAAGAAAAGATATAAAAGACCTACAAATTCTGAATGATGAAAAAAAGTGCTTCCATATATTTTCTTTTTCCATTGGACAATCATTTTCTGAAACATAGACTAGGTTGATCTAATTATTATATTTTATTTAGAATTCTAATAGAAACCTACTCTAAGTATTGCAAAGTATTTCTCATTATAAACCTAGACTTTGATTTTAGGTGATCAACCTGGGATAAAGGAAAACAGTAAATAACTGTTTTTTCCAGACAAACAAAGCAGCAGCCTTGATAAAGGAAGCTTTAATAATATTTTAATAGGTTACAGCAAGATTAAATTTCTGTTGCATAAAAACCAATAAATATGTAGGAAATGAGAGGGGAAAAAATACAATAGTGATTTTAAACAGGCAAAATCCAGTTAAGAACAAAACAAAAATGACCTTCTGAAGTCAGAAAGTATTTGAATGACCACTAATTGAAATGTCATAGAAGGAAGGCAAGCTGGTAAGTGAAAGCAAATATTTAAAGATGAGAAATCCTTCACAGTCAGCTGGATTAATTTTCTGCCAAGTTCATCACAAGCAAATTTATTTGAGGTGATGTTATAGAAAATGGAGGGCTGGAATATGTTGCTTGGAATCTGAGAAATGCATAATGCAAGAGAGCAGATAATGATTGCTGAAAGCTAGACTCCAGTCTTATCAGAAACTAACTAATAAGATTGTGCAGAAAACCAATTCTGAAGGGCAAAACATAAATGCAGCATGGATAGGCGTACACAGAGCAGTCCTGAAAAAATTTACAGTAACTGTACACTTTTCTGAATTCCCTACCTGATCTCAGGAAAAAAAAAACATACCAGGTCCCTGAGCATCTACAGCAGGATGGCCAAACTGGTGGCCCATGGGCTGGATGCGTCATGCACAGGTCATGCCCACCCTGGCTCTGCAAAGGCAAAAAAGTCATGATACGTAACATTACGCAATTGAGTTTGACACTCGTGATCTACATACTAAGTTGTTTAAAATTGCTTGCCCTAAAAATATATTCAGAACAGTTAATAGAAAATAGATAAGATGTAAGACATTCTAAAGTAAAGGAATATATTTCAAATTTTTGGGTGAATATGATGTATTCTATTTCATAACTGGCTGAAAAAATAACGAAGATCTTTTAAGATGTAGAGCTTTTTATATGTTTAAAGTGAGGAATCTGCTGTTGCCTTTCCCTTCCACAAAATGAGATTTTGTCATGAAAGAGGAGATTTCTGAGATATCCTAAACTTCACAATAACTCAAGATCTGGAAAATTCATGTTGCACTATGAGAACTCAAGGGAAAAAAATATTTGGACTACCTAGCACTTAGTATGCAATTGGAGTAAGCAGAAATGGGCAAAGAAACAACAGAAACACAACTTACTTCAAACTAGTGTACTGTGTTGACAAAGTCAATGCTCTAAAGTGACATTGTCAATGCCATACTTATTGTTTTTTTTATAAAAACTTCTGCATTTATCCAGAGATAATAGCTTAAAACCTAATCTTTTTTTCTGCTTGCTTGTTTTACTAGCAATTTAAGATGCAATCCTACTTCCATGTACATGAGAATAAGCTCCATTTATTTAATGATACGTATGAGTAGATGTATAGAAAATATATAAAAAACTGCTAAACCTTATTACTGAAGAAAATAGAAATAATATATCCTTATTGGGTTTGACATAACAGACATTGTTTCTGAAAAATAATAATAATAATTAAATTCATATGCTGCCTGATACCCACCAACTCCTATATTTGATTTTAATATGCAGGGATTTATTAGTGAAACAACTACTTAGGAATTTTTTGATGCTTTTAAAATCGAGGTCAATTAAAACGTAAGAATTCAATAGCCTTCAATTTGAATTACCTAGAAGAAAACTGAGACTAGCTGTATTCAGGATGATAATTATCATAGTTGAACCTTTATATCAGTCAATACCTTTCTACATATGAGCTGCAATTATATTTCCAGTGGCTTCCTTCCTTCCTTCCTTCCTTCCTTCCTTCCTTCCTTCCTTCCTTCCTTCCTTCCTTCCTTCCTTGAATAAATCCTTTTATTTTTGACAGACCAATCAGGAACAAGACCAAAGCTCAAAATAATTGGATCAAAAGTGCTATTTCAAATAGAACTCTTTAAAGTAAACAATAGCGATTCAGATCTTGCATCCCATTTCTCACCAATTTAAATTTTTTAAAAAATTGTATACTTGATTGTAACTGCACAGAATTGTACAATTCAAATTACATCATTTAGATGCAAACCACTGATAAACCTGATTGTATTTTTGCATCTAAGGCATCAGATTTTACTACCATACATTGTGCAAGATAATGGAAGTATGTCTATTCTATCCTTGCCTTTCAAATTGCAGGAACCTAACATCATATAACATCTCGATTGTGTTAAACATGAGAGCTCTAGGCTTAAATGAAATTTCCTTCCTTTTAGAAAGATTCTTGTGTGTCATTTCAATCTCATAATTATTGTAGACCCTTTTCATCAACTTCACGGCCATGGAATTTTTTAAAAACTACCTTGCATTGTAAAAAGTGGCTACTACCATCACTACCCATGCCATTGTATTAAATATAGTTTAGATGATTTAACATAATATGGAATGCCTTCAACAAATATCAGCTAGAACCATAACAACAAGCCCCATTTTCCAATACATACATGAGCATGGCATACACAAAATTATATACTGCCACAGTCACATACATTTTTGTTGGAAAATAGTACATATTAAATAGTACCTATTAAAAAACTATACCAAGTCAGAAATTATTTTACCACATGAAATAATACTTGGTGAGGAGAATTTGTGTTTGTGTGTGCATGAGTATAGTGCCCACAAGGAAAGTTGAAAAGATCTGGATGAGAATTATTGGGATTTTAGATAGTTTTGATCAATTCTTAAAATTGGTTTAGCAATAAGTGTATCGGATTCAACCTATAGTATTGTTCTGGTTCCAGTGCAATGTAATTTTAATTTCATTCTTTGTGCACGTACTCCTGTTCAGAGGATTAAATGCTTACCAAAGCTGACATATTTGCATGTTCAAAAATAAGTGGCTAGGAAACTTCACATATAGGAAACTATTATGATCTGTTGAATGCTATGTGTTCACATCTTTATTGGATGCATCTCTGAAAATATGGAAACATGTTACAGCCTTCTACCTGTGTTTAAGGTTTTCTGTATTGGGTCAAGAAATTAAAAGCAAACAATTATACTGTATCTTTATCTAAGAGTAAACATTAGTAAATAATGCCGTTTTTTTTAAATAATCAAAATTCAATATATTTTACTCAATCACCAGTTAAATGACTAAACTTTATAATTACAGAAAGTTGAAATTTTTTAACAAAAGCAAGTTTCTATTTTTTAAAAATATATCCTCAGAAAGATAAACAAATTTTGAATTACTGCAATATTCACAACAGTTGCTTCTTCTCAATGTAGTTTTTTAATACCTTTTATTAAGGCTAAATTAGCATAACCACAAAAATAAAAATAGCATTAGAAAGTTTCATATTATTTTATATTTCTGCAGAAGTTTTGAAGAAAATATGTGTATTATACTGCTATGATTTACAATGGCTTCTCAGTTTAGACTGCAAAACTACATACATATACAAACATAGAAGAGAATGCTAAAACAGCAAAATACTGGTAGCCAAACATGAATAAGTTAAATATAAAAAAACCTTTCAGGAAGACGTTCATAGCATGTCAAAAGCCTGATCCACAATCACCTCAAAATATGTTTAACTTACTGTTTTTCAATTTAAAATCTGACAATAGGCAATTTTTGTTGGGTTTTGTTGCCTGCTCTACAACCTCTTATGTACAAAGGAAGCAATTAAAAAAATCTTTGTAGTGTGGTCCAGTATCTAGGCTTTCAATACATACATTTTAAACATTTCTAAATAGGGTCCCAATCTATCAGGAATAAACATACCATTAAATTATTAACCATTCTGGTAATGTTTCCAAGTTATTGGAAACTACGATTTGTCCCCAGATTCTATCTGAGTAACATTCATTTTAATGGGTTTTGCAAAGGAAAAATTCCTGCGTAACAAATACAAAAAAAAAAAAAAAAAAAACAAACACCAAAACTTTAGGAGTCTGGTTTATTTCTTCTTAGTCCAAGTGAAAACAAGAGGAAAAAACGAGAGAAAACAATAAAACTTGACTGGCCTACATGCAAATTATTTGTCTTTTTTTAAACACTGCCTGTTCAAAATACTACTCTGTTTGGAATGTTGAGTATCGCATCTAGTATATGTAAAGCTTCTAAGTACCTTTCCTTGAAAATTGAAAATAACAATAACAATATAATAATGATGATAATGACAACACCATTGATCCAGACCTATATTTTTTAGCAGAGCATTTCAACTTAATTCCTAGAACTGTAATTTTCGATCAACAACAGATGAGGATAGAGGATAGACAGATCAATTTCTTTTTTTTTTCTTTTCCTTTCCTTTCCTTTCCTTTTATGGGTCCTTTTGTTAAAGCAGATACAAGGTTTCTTCTGAACGTGGGCATCAACAGAATGAGAATGCAATCACCAACAGCAAAAGAAGCGTGCTTGACCTGACACTCACATGGAGAGAAGACGAATGATCAGAAGACATGTGACTAGTGGAGCCTCCTGCCACACTTTCCTTCCCAATTGCATTCTGCAAGACAGAAAAACTTCCTTCAATTGCCACTTTGTATTAGAACCTCCTAGCATATTTTACTGTTCTCGTCATTCATACTACATTCTCAGGTCAGTATTCTGTCAGCCATAAATTCTGATCTGTTATGTTTAAAGGTCTTACAAAGAGCCATGTGATTACATGTTCTTCCCGATTATGAGCTAATTACACTGCACAGATCAAGGGCAATTACCATGTGACCTACAAAATCATAGTCTGCTTAAGAATTAAAATATAATTACCATGGTTGAAGGTGAAGAGCTATTCTGGCAGGAATACGTCCACCCCTCCTCAATATATATCTCCATGTAAAAATAATTGAAATTATTTCCAATGACTTGAACAGATGTACCTCAAAAATTAGACCACAAATACAGCTGAAATCACTATGACAGTAGGACCTCACCCTACCAAACCAAAGACCGAGGAATGGAATTTACATCCCCAAACTAGGAGATTTCTGCTCAAAATAATGAATTGGTTTGAAATTTTTAGAACGAATATTCTGATACTATTCACCGTTATAATTGTGTCAGAAACAATTGCTGCAATAAAGTGCAAGAACTTACCCCGGTCACACAGGGTTCCGTTATTATAGATTCATTGAAACTCTGCTTCGGTCCCTGTAGAAAAATGAAAACATTACTACAGGTCTCTGTTTTGCCTCCAATATTGGTGGAATACATCACTGAGCTCCATTAAAAGTTAAGTAACTATTTTCAAACCAAAATCATTCCCATACGTTAAGTAAACATTTCCAATCCATTTATCAGGAATAGCTACATACATACAGTATAAAATTATTATAAAGATTATCTTCTCGTTGTATCTGCCTGTACAATTACATGTCTGTCCCTTAATAAATTAAATTATTGGTTAATCTTGCCACTGTTGCATTTGGAAAAAGGGATGCAATTTTCTTTCATACAATTACTAGCACTGAACAAAAATACATAGCAATACATTCTGTTTAAAATTAAAATTTGAGATTTTGGCCACAAATCACAAAGCAAAAAATAACAAAAATATGACAAAATGTGATAGCTGACGTTACATATATATAGTCCTTGACTTATGATTGGTTGTTTAATGATCATTCAAAATTATGATGGTCTCCGAGAGGATGTTTTACAACCCATAAAGCAGTTCCGGCTGTCATAAAATGTTTCCCTCCTCCAATCACATGTCTACATTATGGATGTTTGGCAACTGGCTTGAATTTATAACATGTTGCCAAGTGCCCTGTGATCACCATTTGTAGTCTTCTCTGCCAACTTCCCAAAAAGTCAATTGGGAAACTGAAAGGAAGTTTCCAAGTGGAGTGGACAGAGGGGAATTGAAATCCTTCTGCGAGTTGAAATCTATTTTTTTTGCTCTCAACGGGAAAAAAAAAGCCTGGTGTCTCACTTAATGATCACTTTGCTCAATGACCAAGATTCTGGTCCCACAATTGTATCATATGGTCAAGGTCTATCTATATATTATTCAACAACTGTCAAAATAGCATTGGTAAATAGAGGAGTCTAATGATAAATTTGATATATGAAGGATGGTTCCCTTGAAAGAATAAATCCTAATAGCTTTTTAGCTCTTTTTATTCCAATCATATAATTTAGAAGTATTGCTTGGGCTAAAGCAACACCACTATATCACTGTGCTTTATGAGATCACCATCTGGCCTTCTGCCATTTACATTAGTTAATAAGCTCTTCTTACTTGCTTGTTTTTTTTAAAAAATATTTTTAAAACAAAAAAAGGGAAATATCATAATAGCTAGGAGATTCCACAGTATTTTCTTTTCCTAGACAGCTAAGCTTATTTTATTCCCCTACAGTGCATCACATATTGCAGAATTTCTTTTCCATGATTATTTTTTTTGTTTGGGGCCTTGGGATAGGCTGTTTTTTCATTTACAGAAATTCTTGCCTGATTCTTTCTCCTGGTAGTAGTAGATTTCATAGGTTACCTTATGAACTAATCTGATCCTAAAATTTACTGAAGGACTTTGGGTATTTCCAATTCTTGCTCCAAGATAATAGCTAGAATTCTTACTCCCAGTGTTACTACATAAGATGATAGGTTATTAATGTTCTGGCTTTTTCAGAACCCTTATTGGGAAGAACGCATAATACTATTTAGTTGATAGAAGTCTGTGTGGTGGCACCATGTTTAGAATGCAAATTGCAGGCAGTTTCTGCTGGCTGCTGAGAGTTCGATTCTCACTGGCTGAAGGTTGACTATTGCTATTTTGCTACATAAAATAAATATTTTAATAAATATATTAGTATTTCTAGCAGATTAGGTTTTTAATATTAAGTAAATTTCTAGCTTATTTGCTTATACCAAATGTTAGAGAGCCAGGTAGCGACATGTTTCTTTTTCCAATGCTGTGCTATAGCATTCTTTTTTACATCTCTTTGGATTTTTTTTAATTTTGGATATTTTAGTCTTTATTGTTTAAGCCTTGGCTGCATTTAATTATATTCCATCAAATGATTTGGCTAGAGCTTTGCAGTATTAATTGAATGGCAATAAATCAACCAACCAGATAGATCAAGTGTCCTTTTATTAACAGAATTAAGTGCTATGGTATTTAATTTCAGATATGAAAAAAGACTTAAGGATATTGGCATATAAAACAATGGAAGTTCTTAAGGAAAGGGATGGGACAAAAGCCGCTACATAAGAAAATGGTTACTTTTCAATCTACAATAACAATGATCTCAGCAAAACCAGTAAAGTATTTTTTTCTATAAATAATATCACTTAGACAAAGAACATAAAGACACAGCCTAATCTCTTTATTTCCTGAACATTTTCCGATAGGGGAAAAAGTTAGCTTCTAAACTAAGATGTTACATGCCAAGCTTCAATTGGACATTTTACTGCTGACTTACAAAACTACAAAAAGCATTTATAATGGAAAAGCTGGCAATGACTGTTATACTAAAAGGTATCAGCCTATCCCTAAATCACAAGTAATAGGGCAAAGTATAAAAGAGAATATACAATAACCAGAAATTCTATACTAGAGGTAAAATCTTTTAAATTTTTTTGCTCCAATTACAGGAGATTCTGGAGAAAGAACCTGAAATATTTCTACTTCAAAGAAAAATAAGCATTCACATATATGGCCTTGCATATTAAGCAAATTCACTCAATTGCTGATTAAAAGACATACACACATTCATTCACAGCAGATATTGAACATAAGTTCACAGATAATTACATATTACATACATACATACATACATACATGAGCCAGTGTAGATAGTGATTACAACACAAATTAGGAACAGTGAGATTCAGGTTTAGTCCTTTCTTAGAGGAAGAAGCTGGCTAGGTGAGTTTGAGTCAGGCAATTCTTTCTCAACCTACATTGCAAACTGCAAATGCATCTATCTACCAATCTACTCTAGACTAGTCTGGTAGAATAACGGTAGTCCTTAACTAACAACCACAATTGAGTCTTAAATTTCTGTTGCTAAGTGTTAAGTGTGTTTTGCTCCATTTCTTGCCACAGTTGGTAAGTGAATCACTGTAGTTGTTAAGTTAGTAACATGATTATTAAGTTGACTGCTTGTCAGAAGGTCACAAAAGGGCTTCACATAACCCTGGGATACTGCCACCGTCATAAATATGAGTCAGTTGCCAAGCCTCTGAATTTTGATCACATGACCATGGGAATGCTGCAATGGTCTTAAGTGTGGAAAAACAGTCATACGTCCCTTTTTTGAACTCTGAACGGTCACTAAATGGACTGTTGTAAGTTGAGGACTACCTGTACAGTCCATGGCCTTTAATGAGGAGGCTTTTATCCTACAGTGATTTGATTAGGACTAACAATAATTATATATATGCAAGCACAAAGAGAGTAAGGACAGGGGAAGAGAGACTGAAATTGTAATTACTCAGATGAAAGTAAGATTATTTTTCACATTTATATGCTGATATTTAATTTTGATATTTATATATTTAATCAAAATAGAAGTATTTGGGACAGTTTTTTTTTTTAAAAAAGATTTACTACTAAGATTTACTACTAAGATTTACTACTAACAATTTGTGTTGTTAAAATTGGTAATTTCCAAAGACCCACTACAACGTGCCTGAAAGCAGTCTTTCTGGTTTCTGCAACAAGGGGATAATAGAAAATCCAAAAATCTTAGCAGAAGATATGCTGATAAGGAATTTGGGACAGTCCATAAATCTAAGGATGACTACATTGCTAAAATTTGCCAATGAATGTATAGATAATTGGTGATTTCTATTTATTTGAGTTGTATTCTGTCCAAATTTTTAGCACAGGCATTACTAAATGTCTGAAACTAGTAAAAGGTAACAGATTCCCACTGATTGATCAGGATTTATTTCCTAATGTGAAATTTAGTTACAAATCTTCTGAAAGCTATTTCCCCCCTTCTTTAATTAAAAGTTTTTACATTAAAAAACAAATTGCTTCCTGGATTGAAAATGGTAATGCCTTACATATAGCCACTATGGTGAATGTATAATTAGTTAAGTATTATGAAATAAAATCAAACAATCAAAGCTTAATTCCCTTTAAACTCTTCAATGTTGTTAAACAATGGAAACAAAGCAATAACTTTGTTAATGCAATTCAGAAAGTGCATTTATTAGGTTCTATCCTCACAATGCTGAATTATTTTAGAAGCAAAAGATGCAGTAAGGTCAGGAATACATAGGAATGAAAAAAAAACCCAATAAATACAACATTATAAATAAATATGCAAATATGTTGGTAAACTAGCAATTTCAAGAGGGCAAGAAATATGCATGTTTTAACACAAAGGTCTGATACAGAGACCTTCTGTTAAAATGAAACTGATCCTCTAGTCTAGAAGAACTGGAGAAGCAAGAAGAGTTCAGGGAATTGAAAGCATTGCTGTTAACATATTCTTCTGAATAAATTTTCTTAATATAACTTACATTGTGCTGTTCCATCATCTCCTGTATAGTACTGTAGATCACAACCTACTACTTGATAAGATAGAAAAGTGTGGGTTAGACAGCATCACTACCAGATGGATTCCTAGCTGGCTAACCGGCCATACTCAGTGTGTGGTCCTCAATGGAACTGCATCTACATGGAGGGAAGTGTGTAGCGGGTGCCCCAAGGCTCTTTTCTATGCCCAGTGCTCTTCAACATCTTCATCAACGATTTGGAGGGGATAGATGGGGAACTTATCAAATTTGCAGACGACACCAAGCTGGCAGGAATAGCCAATATTCCAGAAGACAGGCTTAAGATACAGGAGGATCTGGACTGACTTGAACACTGGGTGCTGTCTAACAAAATGAAATTCAGTGGTGAAAAAAGTAAGATACATTTAGGCAAGAAAAACCAAATGTACAGGTATAGTATAGGTGGTACCTTGCTCAATAGTAGTAACTGTGAGAGGGATCTCCGAGTCCTAGTGGACAATCACTTAAATATGAGCCAGCAGAGAGCTGCAGCTGTCAAAAAAAGCCAACACAGTGCTAGGCTGCATTAACAGAGGGATAGAATCAAGATCACATGAAGTATTAATACCACTTTACAATGCCTTGGTAAGGCCACACTTGGAATACTGCATCCAGTTTTGGTCACCACAATATAAAA